TATTTCCTGAAGATCAAAATTTTAATAAGCAGAGGTGAAGAAACAGGTATCAAGAATGGCCAGCCTGCTGTGTCCAGAGCACTGGAAGCCCCAGTTGCCTGTTCTGAGCAGACATATTAGCCCTGTGACTCTGGGCCAAGCAGTTCCCCCATCCCTGACACTGCTTCCTCATTTAAAAAATAGAGTATATATTATATAACAAAGAATAATGTCTTGTCTTGCTTGTTGTTGGGAGAGGAAAATAAAGAGATTAAAGTTCTATGTTAACTCTGATGTTTCATTTAAATGTAAAGCCCAGGGCGTCCTTGGTGGTCCTGTGGTTAAGAATCTGCCTACCAATGCAGGAGACATGAGTTTGATCCCTGATCCAGAAAGATCCCACGTGCGGTATAGCCACTAAGCCAGTGAACTGCAACTATTGAAGCCTGTACACCTAGAATCCCTCTTCTGCAACAAGAAGTCACCACAATGAGAAGCCTGCACAACGCAGCAGAGAGAAGGCCCCCCACCCCCCACAACTAGAGAAAACCCTCACACAGCAACAAAGACCCAGTACAGCTATAGATGAATAAATACTTCTAAAAGTGTTAAAGAGATCATTAAAAAACTTTTTAAAAATAAATGCAAAGTCAACAAAACAATCACAGATAGCATGGGGACCTACAAATCTCAACTTCATGCAATGCTCCAATCTCTGTATCAGGCAGGAAGATGAATACAGGAAGCAGAAATTTTAAAACTGAAGGAGAAACCAGTTCAAACTTTAGGTGAATGTGTAAGGAGGAAAAACAAAAATTCCTCAATGTTACAAAGTCAGGTTCAGGGTGGAAGGGGACTGTGGGGGACATCAATGTTCCAGGAGTATGAAAGGGAAGTTATTCACATTCCAGTCCTATAATTTATGAAAAACACCATACAGGCTATTTTAAGAAAGTTCAGAGGCAGTCAATACAAAGATAATTCACTGCTCCCTTCCATGTTTTCAAGAGACAAACTTGAGTAGAGGCAGGAGTCTTAGGCTGGTTCAGTGGAGGGGACCAAGGCAGCTGATCCCCTGACATCCAGCAAGAACACTTGCCTTCAGAAGACATGGAGACACCACTGAACTTTCTAAACCCTGGGCTTAGGTCCTGGGAAAAGGGGTCCTTGAGGCAATCCATGCATTTGCGACTGAGTGTTGCTGCTCTATAAACCCTCTCAAATAAGAATCATCCAGAGGAAGGTGGGAAGATTTGGTAGCAAGTCAGAATCAAGAGACAGTCACCACATATTATAAGCTCTTACATAACCAGGAAATGATTGTATGGCATATCTTGTAAATCATAAAGCAGGGAGTTGAAAACTATATGCATAAAAGGCTTATATTAAAACGTGATGAGTGCTTTTTAATTACTTTTGACCTAGAAGTTTAAAGATACCTTGAATGAAGTGTTAATTTTTCAAGAATACATTGATTTTAGGATGGATTGGATTATGCTTTCTGAATAAAAATGTTAATTCCCTGGCATGGTGTACCTATCATATATTCCAGGTGATTTCTGGTCAAATCAGCCAGGTTTTAACTGGTGGAAAAGGGATTCAGAGAAACAGCAGAAAATAGAAATGCTTGTTCGAAGCAACCTATCGATTTTGAGGTAATATAGCCTATGCATTTTAAACTTCTAAAGAGAATGGTTCCAAACGTTGGCAGTGACAAATTCAAATACATCTAATACATTTGCCTATCTCCATTTTTGAGTTTCCAGAATTACTCTTGGTAAATGACATAGTCATCTTTATTTATAAGATTATAATTAAATACATTTATAAGATTTATATAATCTTAAGAGATGCTGAATAGTGACTCTGTGACCAGTTAATTCCAAAGTGAAACAATTTCCTGTATTCATAATTATCTTTTTAAGATTAGAGTGATGGTTCTTCTTTTTTTCCTTAACTGAAATTTTTGATTCCTTTTTTGAAATAAAATAGGCTCTTCATTATTTACAAGCTTATTTTTTTCTGAGTTGCAAAAATTCTCTCCTCCTTTTTTTTTCTTTTGGCCCTATATTACCCATGGGAGGCCCCTGTTCAGTCCTGGCTGCCATGATGAGACAGACAGAAGCATGAAGACACTTCTGCATCTGTAGTGGAAACCTGAGCTGCAGACAATAACTGCTCCTGGTGTCAGGAGCCAGTCCTTGGACACGCACACAAGAATCTGACCTGCCCACAACCTTCTGTGACCTACGGAGACAAGAAGCAGAGAGAAAAGAAATTCTTGCCCAAGCCTAAAAGCTTCTAACTGCCTACAGCTCCTAAAAACACCACCCCTAAAGGTAATAACAAAAAGTTAATAACAATAAGTGCATACTGATTCCCTTAAAATATCTATGATATTAAGAGACGTAAGATTTCGGCTAATCGCCCATTCTCATTATTAGATACTTCCCCCTCAACCACACCTGATAAAAATTTTTTAAGTACTTTTTGAATTTTTGATTTTTTGGTCTTGCCTCACTACATGTGGGATCTTAGTTCACTAACCTGGGATCGAACCCAAGACTCCTGCAATAGAGGCACAGAGTCTTAATCACTGAACTACCAGGGAAGTCCCATACCCCATGGAGTGTACTAAGAGGAAGGAGAGAGGAAAGATTAAGTAAAATTGTGCAGCATCAAAGTGGGTTGGATAGGGCACAAATATTGTTTTTTAATATAGGCTTTTTTTTAGTGGTATTGATAACGTTCCAACTAATGTGAGGCCTGTTTCTCCCTCACAGCTTTTCACGATTGTACTAAATAGCCACGATTTTAGGGAAAACAGGCTGGCTAGGCCCATCACCTCCTCTTCCTTCCCTTCCTGCTCTGTGGAACTTCATCCTACAGCCCAGGTTGGTCTGATTGGAAAAAAGGAGGACTGCTCTTTGGTCAAGACTGATCATCCTCCAAAGGGCTCCACTGTAACCTGTGATTGATTAATAACAAGCTACTGCCCCCGAGGGGAGCTTTAACCAGCAGCTTTTCTGTCATCGCCCTACCATTCTTGGAGTCTACATCTGCAGGGAGGTGACATCTCCCTAGAAGGGAGAGCCTTTCTCCAGTATCAATTTCCAGAGAAGAGGTGATCTTCAGATACAAATTTTCTCTTCTCCCAGGGGCCTGGTTCTCTGAAAGCAGGTCATCATGAGGATGCAGAAAAGGAGACTGGCAGCTGACACTCTCCTCTGCTCACTGCTACACTTCACGGTGCCCAGGGTTACAGGGTTAACCTGCTCGGAGGCAAGCAGGGAGCCAGAAAGGAAGTCACCTTTGTTATGCCAACAGATGCAGATGAGCAGGCCTCCTCTTCCACCCTTGACAATCCAGAGTCAGTGACTTCCCATATTTATCTCTCCTTTTGTTACCTACAACCCAGGGGTTCTTAAACTTAGGTGAACATCAACAGAACCTGGAAGGCTTGTGAGAACCCAGACTGCTGGGCCCCAGTTCAGGGAATGGTGATGCTGCTGGCCTAGGGACCACACTTTGGAAACCACTTCCTTACCTGTCTGTCCTCCTAAATTTGGGACCAGGATCACCTGATCAGAACTGCCTGGAATATTGGTTAAAACAGGCTTTTGTCCTTGTCAGAATCTAGACAGTTTGGAGGTAAGAATGGCAAACTCGATACCAAGTTCCCAGATGACTCTCATGAACTTTAAACTTTTGAGTCTCATCACCTTACTTTTTAGCAAAGTCTGACATCAGTGTTCCGTCCAGTCTAGGTGAGCTTATGACACAATAAGGGAGGATCTCTAAGTCCATCGGAAAATAGGTGAGGCACACTTGCCCCACCTCAAGGACCAGCTGTGTTGTAAGATGCTGTAGCCATGCTGTGGGGAGGGGATAAAGTGAAAAGAAGGTCTTGGAGGATCTGCAGGGGAAGAGTGTGTGTGCGTGCATGAGAAGTCGCTTCAGTCATATCCGACTCTTTGCAACGCTATGGACTGTGGCATGCAGCAAAACCCCCAGGGAAAAGCACCTCTTAAGAGAACCAAGGTGGACCACATGGTCTAGCTCTCCAGCCAACTAAGAGTCCCTTCTTCTAAGACTCATTTCAGAAGTTTCAGTTTTAATTAGGAAAAAAAAAGATGACAGCATCTCCACTTTTAAAAGGGAGGCTGTAACTCACACTAGGCAGTCGTGCCTGAGGAAGGTCCTAGAGATCTTTTCCCATCCCTCTGGGACCATACTGCTGAGTGGAAGAAGGCCTCAGTGTAGACCCTAAAGCTCTTGGTCTCTATTTATTAGAGCTTCCCCACCTGCGTTTGTGAAATCAGATGACGATCACTCTGATGTATGTATCATTTAATAATTCACATTCAACAGTTTAGAGCACTTAGTAAATAATTACCTACCATCATGAAATAAATCTTCTACCTAAGACACAGACAGATAAGCTAATTCACGTCAGTTTAAGGCCCCAGAAGGACAGGGCAGAGCTGAGGCACTCATCCTATGAGTCCACATCCTGCCCCAACACCAGCACGAGAGCCCCAGACAGAAAACAGGAGCCAGGCCCAGAGTCACTGCCGTTACCCTGGTCCCAGGGCTGCGCTGGGGCCACAGCGAAAGTGCGCTGGTCGAGAATCAGCGAACACAAACGGAGCCAGCCAGTCACAAGTGGAACAGAAGCTTTAATGGAGGTTTCTGGAGTCGGGGGCCCTGAGCCTAAAAAAATATTTCTTTTCTTTTTTTGAGCAGAAATGATGCAAGTCAGGAGCGTACTCCTATTTGTGGGCAACTCTGGGTTTTCCGAATCTTTCATTAAGTTTTCCTGAACCCGATGTTTTTTCTTACAGCCAACATGCTAGACTCTGGCAAATCTGTTCCCCCAGCTTACCATGTTCTAAAATTACAAACCGGAATCTGCGCTCCGTTGAAACCTCACGCTCTGGGCTTTCACACACACCCCGCTCAGCATGCGTCAGAAACAAAGCAGTCGCCCCGGGCTCCTCGGGGCTCCTCCGAGGCCTTACCTGAGCTGGTGGAGGCCGGGGATTTGCTGCGCCGGGAAGGCCCTGGGCTCTTGGTGGTGCTCCTGCGGGACGACGAAGCTATTTTGGTGTAGGAAGTGGACTTCACCACGCGACATTCTGGGGAAAGAAGAAAGGCCGCACGTCAGTAGAGGGGCATGGCGCATACCGTTCCAAATGTACAAGAAAGTTAGAAATATACAGCCTTCCTCAGTCACACGTGCTTCCTGCCAGTCCAGCACATGTCCATGACAACAGAAGCAAGACGATGACCAAAAAGGGCACCTGGACGTCTCAGACATCGAGCTAAATGCAGCTGTCCCTCTGTACTCACGGAGATTTGGTTCCAGAACCACCCGCCCTGAACCACCACCACCAGTGGTTGCTCTGGCCTGGCCAAGTGGCCCTGCAGGAGATTCCCACTTCTTAAACAAAGACAGACAAGAGTGCATATGAACATACCAGCACAAATTCAAAGGAGCCACAAGCAAGAAACAATATCAGAAGACATGACCAGAACCACCATATGAATAATGTCTGAGAGCGTGTCTCAAGGTTTTAATTCACAAAATGAGACTTCCCTCACAGTTCAGTGGCCCAGGGGACCTTCCCGACTCAGGAATCGAACCTGGTTATCCACTGCGGTCAGATTCTTTACTGTCTGAGCCACCAGGGAAAGTCATGTAATTCACAAAACAGATCTTTGCACCATGTGACAAGAACATCCACTTGGCTCAAGGGTCTGTCCACACCACGGCCAACACCTCCTGGAGTCTGTCCCAGCCTATAGACACTGGCCCGGCCTCTCAGAAGTACATTAGGAACTAGATTGGACAGATCTAATGCTGCCTGTCGACTGGTATGCTTCCAGTGACATTGTTACCAAGTGTTCACTCCATGCCAGGCGGTGAGCTCTTCCGGCCTGGAGGAGAACACACGTGACTCTGGAACCAGAAACGCCGACCCCCTGGTAGTGCACCATAATCTTTTAACCCGAGAGGGCTAGTTTTTCTTCTGTGGGCCTCATATTTGAAAAATGTTGGCTTATGAAACAAACTGCACAAAATAATAATACATTTCTCACTGTAAATCAAAACCAGGACTACAAGGAGGGCAAGATGACCAGGATCTTTTTTTCCTAGGTTGTGAACATTTAGAGGTCACATGAATTTAAAATAATAATTTAAAAAAGCCCGGCGTCTAGTTAGCAGGGATGAATGGTTAAAATAGAAAGCTACCAGATGGTGCACACTGGTAATAACACCCATCTGTGAGCCGCAAAGTGAATTAAAAAGTTGATTTTGGGGTCTGTCGCATGCTGTTTGCCACAGGTGCCAGAAATTGCTAGTTCTGGGCTCCACCTACCAGCTAGGGTTCTGGAGCAGCATAATAGAACCACTGTTACCACACTAAGTTGACATGTTTCCAGCCACCAGAAAGAAAGTGGGTATTTTTGTCAGGCGGCTCAGTCTTACCAGAGCTAATGTAGGCGTTCTGTTTGATTTTTGGAGTACTGAAAAAACCTTGCGGACTCATGCCATGCTTCTATAGCTTCTATGGCTTCTCTTGAACTCATTTTTCACCATATTATTAATCTATCAAAAGGGCTCATTTATTCATTTGCCTCCCCATCCCCTACTCCCTTGGTGGTGGTTTAGTCGCTAAGTTATATCTGACTCTTGCGACCCCATGGACTGTAGCCCACCAGGCTCCTCCGTCCATGGGATTCTCCAGGCAAGAATACTAGGGTGGGTTGCCATTTCCTTCTCCAGGGGATCTTCCAGACCCAGGGATCGAACCCGGGTCTCTTGCACTGCGGGCAGATTCTTTACTGACTGAGCTACCAGGGGTACCACCTAGTCCTGACATATTTAAAAGCACATAATAGCTGCTCAATAAATACTGGCCCATGTTGTTACTCATCTTGTTACCGCCTGTGTGAACTCTTAACTATTATTTGCTAGAATGATCGAACCTCTCATTTTACAGATAAGGCAAGTGAGGCTCTGAGGGTCTAAATGGTCTGCAATGGAATCCCAGTCTCCCGGATCCTCACAATCCCAGGATCTGGTGCAGTGGCCTGTTCCATTGTAAGTAAAGGTTGGAAAATTAACAGTGACCATGGACAGGGCAGATGGACAAGAGGGTGGTGGTGGATAATGGGAAGGAAGGCAAGCAACCCATTCTCATATCAACATTAAATTAAAATTTAATTACTAAAGCTGGGAGTCTGTCAAGATGCTTATTGCACCAGAAAAAAACAAAAAAGAAATAAGGAACTCTCTTTCAAAAATGGAATTATAGGAAATAATCGTTTGGGAGATCATGGAGTCTGAAAGATCATTACAAATCTCATGCCACTTGCCTTCAGGATAAGAGTGAAGCTTCCTGAGTCATACAGGGAGATTAGCATAATCCTGAAAGGCTAGGGCTGAATAACAGAAAGCAGACACACAACAAGGATAGTAACTGCATCCTCCCCCCGGCCCCCACCCCCACCCAGGGTCAAAATAAAACCAACTGAAGACATTTGCAGCACCACCATAAATTAGAGAAAAAAAAAATACAAAGGACTGCAATCATCTTTCCCATTACAGTTTAGATTTTAATTACTTTAAATGGAAGTGGTATTTTACGATGGTGAAAGATGTCATGGAGAAGGACAAATGCTTCATTACTATAGAGAGAATGCCAAAATCTCTGTCAGCTTAAAAGCACAATTTAGAAAGCTTGTGAATAATACGATCTAAATGGCCAGTAAAGTACAAAACCTTATTTGTTCTCACGAAGGCCATTTTCACAGTGTCTGGCATGGAAGCAAATAGCACCCTCCCCTCTCTGCTGGGGTCATTGCCTTTAGGGTCAATCACTTCATTCTGATATTTTTGGCATCTTCCTATTAAGAGGGATGCATTTCCTTTGGCTGTGGGGACACTTCTTGAGGAGGATGAGATTGAAGGGCTTTAGGTAAGCCACTTGAAAGAAGCTTCAGGACAGTAATTTCTCTTGCCACTGATGGTCACACCTTACCCAAGTACAGAAAATCAGATGAAATACATTAACTGGGTCTCTGTGACTGGACCTCCCATAGCAAGCAAGTAAGCAAGCAAAGTCTGATTAAATCTCTGCTTCAGAAAGTCCCTATAATCATAGCTCTGTGAGGGGGAGAGTACCATTCTCCATATGGTCTGTACTAATGTTAGCTTTACAGATGTTCTCATAATTGGTAAGAGAGGTTAGGACATTTCCCACCTTCACCCGGGACCCCAACTCATGAAACAGGTGCTCTGTGATGGCCAGGATGTGAATGCAGAGGGAGGAAACTGGAGAAGGAACACACCCTTTGGCCCCGTTCCCAGTGGCATGAGAACCACCCCCCCTCCCACCCGCAGAGCAGATTCTCCCCCAACTCAGAAATAGTTGGGAAGTGTAGGCTGATGTGTAACGAAGGGTGCTAGAGAACAGGAACAATTCCAGAACTCCATCACTGGCATCAGCAGCTGACCTGAGCTCACATAGCCGAGACGCTCATGCATTCAACAGAGCCTGATAGTATCTTTTGGAGAACCTTGAAGGACAAGGTGATGTCCCCTCAATGCCTAGGCAGCCTTACTGACATGCTGCAAACTGGCTAGAGAATATCCTCTAAACAAGAGATTTCTTTACTCCTCTAAGCTCTTTGTAAAGCCAGCAGATTAAAATCTCTGTCAGGCGGAGACCTCTCAGTGATCACTACTCTAAATTCAGTTGTCCTGAGCTACTCATGAGATGGGCAAGTTCATCTGGAAGCATCTGTTACCAGCAGTAGATGCTCTGTGCTTTCTTGCCCATCCTGGTAACAAAGACAGGCTCCCCGCTAACTTGGCAAAGGTACAAAGCTTCCAAATGGAACGGTATAGCTCAGCTGGTAAAGAATCCACCTGCAATGCAGGAGACCCTGCTTCGATTCCTGGGTCGGGAAGATCCCCTGGAGAAGGGAACGGCTACCCAATCCAGTATAGAGAATATCCTCTAAACAAGAGATTTCTTTACTCCTCTAAGCTCTTTGTAAAGCCAGCAGATTAAAATCTCTGTCAGGCGGAGACCTCTCAGTGATCACTACTCTAAATTCAGTTGTCCTGAGCTACTCATGAGATGGGCACGTTCATCTGGAAGCATCTGTTACCAGCAGTAGATGCTCTGTGCTTTCTTGCCCATCCTGGTAACAAAGACAGGCTCCCTGCTAACTTGGCAAAGGTACAAAGCTTCCAAATGGAACAGTATAGCTCAGCTGGTAAAGAATCCACCTGCAATGCAGGAGACCCTGCTTCGATTCCTGGGTCAGGAAGATCCCCTGGAGAAGGGAATGGCTACCCACTCCAGTACTCTATACAGTCCATGGGTTCACAAAGAGTCGGACAGGACTGAGTGACTTTCACTTTCTTTTACTTCCTCTCCGTGGCTACATGCCAGAGAGTCAGGGAGCCCATTTAGTTCTAGAGACTTTTAATAAATATGGCACAAGTTCAGTGACCAACAGAGAAAGCCTGCAATTCTGGCTGTCTAACTGTCCAACAAAAGTACCTCTTACGTGTTCAGATGCTCTGGGTTGGAATGACCCATCTGAGAATACCACGGTTATAAATGGTTACCCATTCAAAGCTGTCCTCAATTCATGAATATCCTCCCCTTCTGTCTTGGTGAGGGGCTGGCCAGAGTCTTTCTGGTGCACCTCCAGGGCCTGGGGTATTCACCACCTTCTGGCTCAGCCTTCTGGCTGTTGAAGCTCTGACCATCCTGCTTAGCCTCCAGCTTTCAGTGTGGATGAGCTGGAAGACCATTCCTGGTGTGACTGACGGCTCAAGTTTACTTCCTATAGAAACATAATGATTTTCACACTTTAGGGCAGTCTTTTGAAGTGAAATGGCTCAGTCATATCCAACTCTTTGAGATTCCATGAACAGTAGCCTGCACCAGGCTCCTCCGTCCATGGGATTTTCCAGGCAAGAATACTGGTTGCCATTTCCTTCTCCAGGGGATCTTCCCGACCCAGGGATCGAACCTGGGTCTCCCGCCTTGTAGGCAGACGGTTTACCGTCTGAGCCACAAATGTTGGCTCCTAGGAACTCCCTGGTGGTCCA